CCCCAAAACCCCAAAACCCCAAAACCCCAAAACCCCTTTATTGGATATAAGTATGGAAAAAGGTGAATTAATAAATAATAATTCTAATGCTTCCACAAAATAAGTAAGAACTTCATGCAATGATATTCTGATTGAGGAATAACAAGAAGTCTTAAAATTAGTATTAACTAGCCTTGCTTGTAATATTGAGGAATAGACCAGGTAATTGGTTTAGAGTCTCGTTTCAAGCTCCATCAGAGGTGATCGGTTAGGAAAAATAGCTGTTCGAAGAATAGAATAGCATAATTTTTGATATGGATTTGACGCATTTTTCCTCTTTCACCTATTGGTGTACTTCAATGGCTTATTTGTGATGAGTTATGCCAGTCTTGACTAAACTTTACTATAGCACTCTTATTGACAATTCAGGTCAAGTTCAAATGATTAATCAAGAATACTCAAATAATTTAGTTGGGCTTGGTGGACAAGCTTATGCTCATTACCCTCAAGACCCCTCTGGTAATTTTGGAATGGACTGAATGATTCCAGCAATCTGGGATCCAACTTTAAACTGTGATCAGAGCTGCATGGTTCCTCCTGTAAACTCAGTTTGCAGTCAACTCTATGCTATAAATGAGAGCGAATTGAACAATTCGAACTTACACCAAGATATGACTTTGATTCATCAACAATCTTTATGTTTTGGTGACATGCAGACAAAGCTAGCAATTTCCTCGATGGACTTATCAGGGTTCTGCCTGTGAGATTTATATAGCCATGGCTACCCTAGTGGGCTGAATTCTTCTTGTACTACTCCTTCAGGAGACAAAAAGTCACCAGGCCCAAAGAAAACTAGGTGAATCCCAAAGACTGAAAGTGATAGCACCACTCTCAAAGGATACAGGTTTAAGTTCATTCATGAAATTGTCAACGGGCGTAAGAGAAAGATGATCCAGTGTCAGTACGATGGTTGCTCTAAAGAGTTCACCAAGACCTGGAGCTTCCTGTATCATGCAAGAATGCACGAAGGAGTAAAGCCCTTTGAGTGTAATATTTGCCAGCGCAAATTTAGTCAGAAGAGCAACTTAACAAAGCACTCGAAGCAACATTTAATGGCGAATATGAGTCAAAGGAAGAGGTTCAGATGAAGTCTATGTCCTAAAGCATACACTGAGAGATACAACTTGAGGGTAAGGAGCTCTTCTCATAAGCTAGGAATTATTCTACGATTTTCTAAACCTATTTAAAGTGTCTTGGATGCCCTACTGAGCATACTTTATCAGATCTTTTACTAATAACAGATCAAAAGTGTATCAACCACTTGAATTTAGATGCCTCCAATTGTCGCATTTAGCCTATTTTCGCTTTTGAAATATTCATAATACTAAAAATAAAAAGAGGTTAATAAATTTGTCCGATAAATTCTCCCCAACTAAGCATGAGCAAACATATCATTGCTCTTTGACTGATGTTGATAGCATTTTTATCCATTTTTAGTTCTCCAATCCTTATCTCGAACAATACTTTTCGAATTTCTTTCGAATTTTTACATAAAAATCGAACTGTCTGGAGTTTGCAATCAATTAAGATCTTGAAATCAGAAGTCATTAACTTTTTATAGAAACACCTCAAGGTAATCCATGGAGTCAACACAAACAAAGACTTGTCAGTGATCTACCACTAATAAACTTATTCAGAGAGGCGAAGAAAAGGGGAAGTTTATCTTCTTACAAACAAGAGACTATTCCTAATTATATCTATCGTATTAATAAAGAATCAGCTGTCCCTTAAACTTGATAGAGACATATTTTTAAATTAATCACACTTCTGGTTTTAAGGTTTGCAGCTACTGGATATGGGGGTGGTTGACCACTCTTTTACCCCTAACTGGGAAGGGTCTTATTTCATGTTTTAAGAACTTTTGAAATTTACTCATTAAATTCATCCAAGTTGGGGAAGGTTCTAACAGTCTTTTTGATGCAAAGTTAAAAGACATCCCTTCCATTTGGATATCTCCCAAATAGCAACCTGAAAGTTAAGAGCCCATCATCATTCATCTATTAACTATAAGCTCTTCAGAGTTGTCTGTGAATATTTCTCCCTTAATGCTTCAAACGTTTGTCGAACAATTAATTTTCGATTCTGCCGATTTCCAAACAATTGGTAAAAAGTTGGGCAAAGGAGTCTTCTACTGGTAAAATACCAACTTGTATCATGCACTAAACAGTAAAGTCTATCACAGCTAAAGCTCAAGCAAGGATGAATTTTTCATAAGTCCCAGTATTTTAGAACTTTAGAAAATAAGTCACATGTTGTGTTAACTAACTTAGGGTTCAGATTTTATATCTATAGTGGAAGCTGGACTCATGACTCCTCTGGTCAGCATGTTTGTAGTTCAGGCATCCACTAGATGCTGTTATTCTGAACACTGTGGGGAAATCCAGTATAATCACATTTTGAACTGTGGAGCTCAAAGCTAACAACCTATCGTCTCAGATGGACCAGGGAAGACTTTAACAAAAATTTGAGAGATGGAAGAAATAGAGGGGAATATTAACTAAAGCAAGCATAAAGGCACTAGCCTTGGGGCTTTGGGTTATATGAAAAGTTTTTGAATCGGTTCTGACCCAGAAATTATGAATAATTTGTGTAAAATTTCGATAGCTTAATTTTAACCGAAAATTTGAAAAAATCTTAAAATTTTTATCTACAAATTGATGAAAAGGCAAATTTAGCAGTTAAAGAACAATATTAAGGTCTTCACCTAGAGCCTCTAGGTTATAACTGTTTGTAGAGAATGGGAAATTTTACCTCCATAATATTGAAAATGCGTATAAAAACTACCAAAGCACTATTTAAGTTTAATAAGCTTTGAATTAGATATCAAAAGTGTACCATCCCATCTAGTCAACTTTGAAATGAAAGTTTTTGCGCAGAGCTAATAAGGTGTAAATTCCCAGTTATTTTTTCTACCTATAGCTTTATTTATTACTCCTCAAACTTCATGAGAGCCAGAGAAGCCTTCAAGGCAACACAAATGGGTACTTTATTATATTTCTTGATTTGTAATCTCTATTTCTCATAGCTCTATAGAGCTATGAGAAATGATTGCTCCAGCATCAGCGAACTCCTATTTTCTGGAATTTGCCTGAATTGATGATTACAAGTAAATATCTCTATCTCAAATTGAAATTTTTATGGTCGAAATTAATTGGGAAATCCCTCATTGAGCATATTTTCTCTATCCTAAATTTCATAATTCTTCGAAGTGCTTCGAGAGATATTCGAACTAATAGCCTCAACAACTAGTTCATTTGTTAGGCTTTTTAAAGTGCTCATGTTAAGCCAGAATTTAGAAGAATAATTGATTGAGAGTATTGATACTCCTGGTATACAAGAAGCTTCAAGGAATTGGCAGAATTATTGTAAGCACTTTAATGGGTCTTTTACACTTTGCCTCAATTCGAATTATTAACCAAAAATACTTCCTAATTACGCTAAAAGACCCAGATCATGATCACAAAGATTTCATGCTAAAGTTGGCCACAACTAAGGAAATTATGAGCTATAAAGATATATAATAAGTTGAGGATAGGCTGACTCCAACCAGAGGATTTTTATGCTCTATTCATTAGGACCCTCATCATAGCAAATCTAATGGTCTTATGAATATAAACTAACCTGGCTATCGAAATACTTCTAAAAGATATCAAACGAGGCATTTATAAAGAGAGATAGACTCAATAAGTCTACTAGTCTTGGTTTTACAGCTATGTCTCCCTTAGATAACACTCCTTACCCTTCTCTGGATCATAAATAGAATTATTTCAGTAAAAAATCTTAAGTACATGAGAGAACTGTAAATTTAAGGGGGTTCTTCAGCAAAAATATATCAGATAGATTGGTTCTACCCGACCAAAAGGAAGCCAATTTGTTTGGATACCTTCGCGAAGCCTGTGATATGAGGCTACCTCACTGTGACTATATATTTTTATCAATTCTGTAGCTCCTTGTTTATAAACTCTAGCAAGGGATCCTGACTAGATCAACCATTTTGCAAAAATCTTAATAAATTCGTAAATTAATAAATCAGAAAAGACATGAGGGAAATTTGCAATAGCTCCCTTATAATTAGAGACTCGAAGAATCTGTAGGACATTCAGACGCTAAAATACCAATCACCCCCTTAAGGACCATAAGACAAGGTTTTAATCTGAAAGGATCACTTCCTTTCCCAATTTACTGACAAACTCTATGAATCTTCGATTTTTAGCCTTTAATCCAAACTATTGAGACTTAACAAATTCTTGAAATGTCAGAATTTTAATGAGACATGCTTATTAACTAAACTCATAACATTCAGGAGACATTAGTGAGTTCTCAGCCAAGTTCCAAGACTATGGTTGTTAAACTTCGAAATTTATTTTGACTGAAAGAGTTCACATTTGTTGCTGGTGACTCTAAGGCTCAACTCTGTCTGTATCAAGAATACAGGTGTTGACTACTTTTATGCCTTCGAAAGAGAAGGTGCTCTCTCTTAAACAATGATGTATGCTTTAAGATGTAATTGAGAAGTAAATTATGGCTAGGCGCTGACTTTTTGTCACCTAATTCACAATTCTAAAATTTCAGATATCTAAAAGAAGAGGAAGATTGGGTATTTATAATTGCTGAAATCTCATAAATCATCCAAATTATCTTAATTTCCATCCCTTTTAGCATTGTTGGGGTTTTGGGGTTTTGGGGTTTTGGGGTTTTGGGGTTTTGGGGTTTTGGGGTTTTGGGG